CTGGCATCAGTATTACCCAGATAAATTATGAATTTAAGTAAGATCATTAGTCACGGCTCAGCTGATGCTGGTGAATCATCAAATAAGTAACGTAAAATACGTTTGGCCGAAAGCCATTCTTTACACCCAATGATCTCTACACAACCATGCTGATGCTGGCATGTCCAGGCGATAACCCATGCATTTGCATCCACAGAATTTAGAAACAACATACAAATTGCACCCATGGACATTTGCACCCACGAACATTTTCACTCACGTACATTTGCACCCACGGACCTTTTCCCCCAGTACATTCGTACCCACGTACATTTGAACCCGCAGACATCTGCACCCACGTGAATTTGCACCGACGTACATTTTCATCTATGAAAACCCGGTGAACAAATTCTAATAAACCCCTCCGCGGGAGAATTATTTCACAAGTTGAGGACAGAAAGAACTACCGTATTTCCGCATGACTGCAGTGTTGCGAGAGATAGATGAGAACCAAACGGAGAGAATAGAAGGAGAGACTGTTTCAATACTTTTTATGAAACTGAAATGGAGGTGAAAAAAATCACAGATTGCCAGAAAGTCTGGAGGAAAAATGTCACAGACTAAGAGATAAGATTCGTTGTATTTGTAGTTTATTCATACCGTCATTTTTGGCCGACAAAATGATGAATTGGAGGCGAATTGCCTCGAATTGTAGACGATGGCCGCCTTATTGTGCGTGCCCACGGGTCATGACATCTCATTCGCATAAGATTGTCATATATATCCCGCGGGAGATGAAAACCGACGACTTAATCATATGGCGTCGGCTATCACGGCCTCTCGTAAGCCTCTTTCGGTCACCAGTCCATGTCAGGTACGGGCTTGGTTAACCAGTTATTTGTTTCAGACGTGTGGACTTTGTAGTGAAGGAGGCCGTAACCTACCTAAACTACCTTAAGGCGGCAAAGAGTCCGGCAATCCCCTCTGACACATAATTATCCCCCACGGGATTCGAATCTGCGAACCCACGCAGAGTAATCAGAGGTATGATGGAAAGCATGTTCCTAACGCTTAGCACGATGCGCTAACCGCCACTTCCTGTCGTTTGAATTGGGTCATTCACATGGGCAACTTGAGCCTTACTCCGGTCACGGTACCAGTCGTAGTGGCCTAGGTGGGTACCATGGGGTACGGTACTATTAACGACTAGCATATTGGATATCCGTATTCAGATAGGTAGCTTGTGTGGAAAAATTTTAATATTTTGTGGAGTCTACATGTTTAATTCTTATATCACGAAATAATGAAATAGAGCTCAGCCAGGATTATCGAAATTGATACAGCAGCACGGAGTAAAAATGTCTTGTAAATTTATTCAAAAATTGCATTTCACGGAATCTGGTAGGTGTTAATTTATGTGGTCATGTTTCTCAACCTATTTGTGGGTTCACAAAAAGGTTCATAACCACGGATGTCTAGAACTGATCAAATGCATTTGATTATATTTCGGATAGTGAATATTATTTCTGACAATAATTTACAATATTTTCTCTCCCAAATTTATCATTTCAATCATTCAACATCCGGTGTCCTTACAAAAATAGACTCCATTTTACTTAACATTGTCAAAAATCAATCTATATCAACTCTTCTGCATTAAATATCTACAGATGTATGTTTTTGTTAAATTTCGCTCCAAATAAATTGTAGCGTATTGTACCAGATCCAATATATATTCAGTAACTGAGAATATTGCCTATTTATTACTATCCATGGGTACAATTAAATGTTCTTGCTGTCAATGCTACGTACGTAAATGAACGACTGCTTTGTCAAAATAGCGATATATATGTTTGTTTAATGATCCAATTTAGCAATTTTTGCATTTCGAATATTCTCAATTGATCTAATATTGCATAGAATTGTGTTTCAATAAAAATACATTAGTTTCAATTTGTGGATTTTAGAATGTAATTGTCTTGAACGTAATTTATTTTATTGCATTTTGTGAATGAGAATAAAGCGGTTGCTAGATCTTACTAGCGAAACTACTAGGAATTGTACTTTTTGTAAGTTTAATTTCATTACAAATATTTCAAAACGAAATGTAAACATGGAGCAATTGTGACTTTTGCTGTGTATTGCACTAGTATACAAGCTGGTTGATTCGGGACATTCAGGCTGGAGAAACTTCGTATCGCATCAACGAATGACTTGAATTCTACCACACCTTCACGTCATATTTAAAATATGAAGTTGGAGGTAAAAGAAACTACAACGCCAAGAATTTCCCTCACTAAACATACATATTGTATTTTTGATAGAGCAAATCCCACATACACAGTGCATCCGTAGCCAGAAAGTGGACCCTAACGAGATGGCCGTCGCGCCTTGTAATGCGCAATCTTCTACACGCAATCCTCTACACATTTTCAGCTACATGTTTTGTTTCATTGTCCAATCAGTTGCTTTATTGAATATGTAAAAAATTGCACAAAAGTTACACCCAAGACTTACTTAATAGATAAAAAAAAATATAGTAAAATATAGCGTGGCACTACAGGGTGGCAAATCCACCATGCACTAACAGTACGTTGTGTTATGCTGTAAATTTTTGCGATGGTACAGTGGGAGCCCATAATATTTTCTGGTGCAGTAGCTGAACTCTATGTGTTGCTCGAGTTACTTAATGTAACACTGTAAATCCATGCCAATAATGTGCATATTGTATGTGACACCACAGAACATTTTTCCATTTCGGAATAGCGGCCTCTATCATCTCTTAAAATTCTGGTAATAAATCGTTAAATGGGTGAAGAAATGTCCTACAGCACTGCAAACATTTAAACTTTATTAACTTAAATCCAGTGCGTCAATTCCATATGAAATAACTGTACCACACAATCAAACACTTTGTGTCAGGAATCATCACAAAATATGTCAATTATACCAAAAGTTCTACATTTTCAGGCCATTTTTTATAAACCATCAAAAACCTGGGTGAAATTTTATATTGTTCGATGAAATGAATGCAGTCCAATAAATTTCCAATGTCTTTTGATATCAAAAATAAAAAAAAATTACTTTCACTACACTTTTCAAAAAATTGATGGAATTCAACTTTTGCTTGCAATGGGCCATATACGGACACGTTAAACAGACCGAAGCAGTCCTCACCTTTGACACCGTAACCGATCACCGGTACCCACCGGTACCTACGACTTCATCCAAATCCATTACGTGTCAAAAAAAAAAAAAAAATTCCACAGTGCTATCAGGATTATTTGGAATAAATGAAAGTAATAGCCTTCTCAAAAATTTTTTTTTATCTTCAACCACTGAAAATTTCATAGCAATTGGTCCAGTAATGAAAGAGATAAACGACTTTTCAGTTTTCCACTAGGTGTCCAAAAACGTGTCAAAGAACAAGGACAACAACAAAATGATATTGAAACGATTCATAGGTCCACTAACGTGTCCAATAATATATGATTCTGAGTCAATAGCACAGAAAATAAGTCTACGGTACAAGTCTTTTTAGTGTCAGGTAGCCTGGCACCAATGAGACACCTCGCCTATATATCGGCGCAAAGCACCGCGAAGTGGGTTTGGCCATGACGTAATTTGTGAAATCAAGAAACCAAATCGTATGAATCTTTTTCACATGTTGAAATGCCTTGCTGCCGCTATACTGCAAGGCACAAAATACATTGCATTCATATGAGCGCCAGCCATATTCTGTCTAATCCCCAGAGGTGTGTGATTTTTCATCGACGTAGTTGGCTGCGGATGAATATGTTTATAACAGTAAAAAATGGACTAAAGAAGTAATTTTCCCATTTATATAGAATGCCGAAATGTTTCGCTGAACTTGGAACCAAAGCAAAGTCCACTATTTACAGAGTCATTGTCAATGGACCTTTCCCCGAGCATCGACTTCCTTGTTTACTTCGTGACATTGGCCAATCAGCAAGATGCAAAAAGTGACGTGACAATGCTCCCTTTTCTCATCCGCTCAGACACTTTTCTCACTCAGACAGATTTTCAGGCGTGGTCGTAAACATTACCTCGTTTTCGCGATTTTGAACTCTATTCGTTAGTTTTTAGTTGTGTTTCGGAAATTTAAATCAGATAATTAAATAATAAATCTGTCTTTTTGGGAGTTTTAATTTAATTGCAGTGATAAAAAATTAGTGTATAAACAGCTGTGATAGACTAGGCTAAAATTCTTTACCGGTACTTTTAAAAACAGATTGTTGTATGCGATGAATCATAAGGATGGTTTGAAACAAATACCCCATTTCACAGGCGTCAACTCGCGAAACCGCTCTTAAAATAAGCCCCGAAAATTTTGCAATGGTAAAGTATAGGAAGAATTTTTCGGGGGTCAAAGGTCGGGGAAAGGTCCATAATCTTAGAATAGGATTCGGTATTTTAAATTTAAAAAAGAATAGTAAATTATATTGTATTGTCCACCTCTAAAAAATTTTGCGTTACCGGTTAATCCGAGCTATGTTTCACAACTATGAACCCCTCCTTGACTTTTCACCCTGTTTGACCCCACTTTGAAATAGACGTTTCCTCAAACGTTGTTGACCTCCTTGTTTATTTCGGTAATTTTGACTAATCAGTAAGATGTCCAAAGTTCGAACCTACTATCGACTGTAACTTAAGCAGCCGTTCAGGTATCCTTCTCTCATTACATGACTCTAGAGAAGACTATGAGTCAAGATATACACCCCGGGCAATAGTCATGAAACCGATCTTGTATCGGGTATCACTATCATGTATAAAATGCCTTCCACACCTTGCTTTGAAAATTTGATATTCGGGGAAAGTAGTGAAAAGTTTCATTCATTGTACGTTTTTTTATTCGAATTAGTATTTGAACATGGTTACTATAATTTTATTGCGCAGGCAAAATAAAATGCACATTGAAAATTATTACTTGTAACAAATTATTGAAAATTCTGTTTGATTTTACAAAGTTTTACTAAGCAAGCATAAGCTGGACTGCGTTCACCGACGTCAGGTTACCGAACCAACGATATGAAACTACTATAAAGTAAAGTACTATGGGAAAAATATGTGCGTGCTTTTCTGTATTGTTGGCACTGATATTTTTACAAGTTTTTATATACCAAGCGATTTTCAGGCAAGATAATATTATTTACTTTTTAACCTATATACATTAATGCTTGAAACTTTGGTCGATCAGGGTGATTAGTGCCTAAAATTTATAGGGCGATTATTGTAGATCGATAGGAGAAAATTAAGTAGACTATGTTATAAGGTTTATAACATTCTATTTCCAGAAAAAATTATGGAGTTGGATACCATGTGTCAATTCATGACACATATGCATTTCATCAGAACGAAATAGTTTCTCAGTCAGCAAATTTGGAGGATACATCAAAAGGACTATTATTTGAATACAATAAAACTTGGACGTATATTTTTTCTTTGTGCAAAAATTCAGAAGCCGACAGAAAATATATACAAGCTCTAGAAGATGGATATGTGTGAGCTAATTATCATTAAATCCAAGTTTTGTATGTCATATTTAGTAACATAATTCTAGAATTTTGGTCGTTTTCGTTGAATATTCATAGTCACTGACTTCATTGTAGTTCAAAACAATAAAAGAAACATTCATTGTGCCTAATTTCATCCAATATGCCGCTACCCACTGAGACATTGCTTCTGTTTTTCATGTTTCATGCTTGAATGAACAAAAGCATAGGCAGTCCCCGGTATATATCGAAAACGAGATAATATTTTATAATCGAAATTCAGACTTCTGCTCTCTCGAGTGGAAGAAGTCCTTATGTTCGCGTCAAACTCTAAAAACAACAGTATTGAATTTGCAGCAGAGGTAAGTTGGAAAATCCTTTTATTCAGTTACAAATGTTGTTATTTTCGTTTCCGCATATTATTTTCACTACCTACAGAATTTCATCACTTTCTGGAATCTATTTTCGGACATGAAACATTTATGGATGCAAACCATGACTGTATTTCGGGAGATCGGATTAGTAGAAACCGAACGGAAAATAATCGGTAACAAATTTTGGTATGTACAAAATATACATTCTTCATGATTACAGTAATTCCCTCTGCAAATGTTTGAAACATTGTAAGTAAATTTCACATTGTGATTAATTTATCAAGGATATTTTAAAAATACTATTGTAATGTAGCTTTACCGTTCGGCAAGACCAATCCAAACATTTCGTTTTGGATTTACAACAAACAATGAATAGCGTTCATTTATTTCCTAATTTAGAACTTTTTTATTTGCAAGGCTTCTTCTTGGTATAATAAAAAACTTAATGGAGGCATCTGAAATAGAAAGGAAGAGAATACTAGATGATCTTTCCTCAAAAGTGATGATGAAAATCCAACAACTTCAGGTAGTTTTAGGAGATTGTGTATGTGGGTAACCTACACTAAAAGAAAGTATAATCACGTTTATTGTTTCTTAATGTGTAGATTTCTAAAAAGCGATGTAAACAGCGATGTTAAACTTTAGTCAAGTATGAAGGGGTTATATTTAGCAATTGGCCTTGTGCAATCATTTGAATTTCTTAGAGCTTAGAATTTATTATAGATAACACCAAACTGTGGCAAAAAAATCAAGGTAACAAAATAATCCAAGTATCTGGTTACAGAAATAACAATGACCAATGGGATACTCTTTTACTAGCAAATCTGAATTTATCATAATATACAGTTCGTGATGAACATGTATTGTAGGAATAATTTACACGTGAGAGCTTAATTTTTTTTTTATTTGTTGGACATTTAATGAAATTTTAGTCATAGTTAAATATTTCGGGGCTGCTGACAATATTACTTCAAATATTTTGTTAATGAGAGTCAGAGTCAGAGTTATTTTATTTGTCACTTCGAATAAAGAATAAATTTACCTTTAGTCTCTATGTTCCAAAATGCACTTACGGTACTTGATATGAAAATATCGCTGATGGTTGACTATTCAATAATTGATTCTCATAGTCGAAAGACATAACAAATTTTGTGGTAAATCCTATAACTTCGGATGTATTGTCTGCAAGGAATACGGACGTCTGCTTTAAACAAATAGGAAAAATTGGTACTTGCAGAGAGAGTATATAATCTCATATCTCAATAATATTACTGATAGTAACAATTAACCCTTTTTTAGAATCCCAGGGACTGCATGAACACTCGGCTACTGATTTGTAAAATAAATACCAAAAAAGACTGTGGATTTGGCTGTGAGACTCACTCACTCATCAGCTGCATTATGAGGGCTCTTAGGAGTCAACGAACCCTGATTTATATTAGTAAAGGATGGAAATATGCTAAACATGGTCGAGAATATGCATTTGTTCCGTTGAACAACTGCTCGACACGGTCATCTACTGAATCATATGATACCGCAGAAGGTTAGTCTTTTATTTCTCTTAAAATATGAAATTTACTCAATATTTCCTAGATCCACATTTATTATTGCATTAAAACTTACCTTAGCATGTTCATTTTGGTCGGCAATATTTAGCCGAATACCTATACTAAATTATCCACTGACATTTTATACTTATGTTCGAATCAGTCAAAATATTCAATTTCTATTATGCTGCTGAAATAGTTCAACTCATGTACATGTGATTTCTGTCGTAGATACTGAAAATGCAACAATCATCAAAACAGACTCAAACGCATATAAAGAATGGATAGGTTGGTCTATTCCACGTCAGTTAGCACCTACTTTGCAAAAATACCATGCGGAACCATTTCTTTGGTGGATCGGGCAATTGATAAAATATGCAATGAAACTTCAACCATGGATGGAAGAAGAGTTTAACAACACAATCACGCGTATAGAATTCACAGGCCCTGTTGTTGGGTATGCCTTAGTTGAGTCAGATAATCGTAGTGAATATCCTAAATGCCCTTTATTAGGGTGTCTCCAATATGTCGTGTCCCACTTGTACCACGTGTCCAACTAATCCACGACGGTAAGGACAAGTTGGACACGTGGGACAAGTGGGATAAGTGGGACACGTGGTACAAGTGGGACACGTGGTACAAGTGGGACACGTGGGACAAGTGAGACACGTGGGGCACGTGGGACACGTCGGACAAGTGAACACGTGGGACAAGTAAGACACGTGGGGCAAGTGGGACACGTGAGATACGACATTTTGGACACACCCCATTATTAGACTGATTTGTGTTCAATTAATATTAACAGTCGATGGCAGGGCTAAACGAACGGTTTTATTACATTTGCACTCCTTATTTGAACCCACGACAATTGCACCTGCATACTTTTGCACCTATGGAAAAAATTTTCACGGATATTTGGACCCATACTAACCCTAACCCATGGATTTTAGCACTCGCATATAGACTGAACCCGCGGATATATCGGTGCAAATGTATGGGTCCAAATGTACGTGGGTGCAAATGTAAGGTCACTGAACGAACACATTCCCTAAATTAAAATTAGTTGAGACTGGCGATATCACATCGTCGCTTATACTATATTTAAGTCTGCGGCCAGACAACATGATAGATAAAAATTTGGGAGTGCTTAAATTCATAAGTATTTAGTGTAATGTGGTCATTGGGTAAAATACGTAGAGGAGAAATCATTTGCACACTACACGCTGACTAGGCCTACACATATAATGTATCAAAGTTATGAAGCTCAAAAAATTTCACAGGATACAAATTCGCAGGGGAGATAAGTTGAAAGCTTCTGGAGGATTTCATGAGGTTGATGAATACATGTTCTATGCTGATCAATATTTCAACAATTTGAGGAAAACCAACAAACATATTCAACCAAAAGTATTTCTAGCTACAGAAGATGAATACGTTTTGCCAGAATTGACAATGAGGTAAGTGAAGCGCTCTATGTAATCAGGGGCGTGCCAAACTTTTCTGCTGCCCGGGGCGAGTTTCTAATAATGATGCCCCTTATTCCTAACTTCCAAAGTAATTCGGGGGATAAACAGATTATAGATATACATGATACAGATTGTCGTTATACATGAGAATAAATGAATTAGAGGCCAAGTAAGATAGAAACGTTTGTTTTATTAAATAAATAATCAAACAAAGCAACAAACTCAAATGTATAAGATCGAACTCATTTATTAAAAAAAAGCAAGTCACTTATTTCTGCGTTTAATCGCTACTTTGCCAGCAACAAATGTCTGAACAACAGCCTCTTTCAACTCGCTCGTCAGGAATTTCTTTTCGATGCTAATCAAAGATAAATTTGACAAGCGCTGTACACAAAGTTGGAATGGCATGCCAAGCTCAACCAACTAAGCAAGAAAATCTCTAGCATTTCTTGGAAACTCTTTTTTTTCACGCCGGAAAAGCGATGTAACAGTGGGCGTTTCAGCAGTCGCACAGACTGATTTTCTGGCATGGTTGTAAACATTAACTCGTTTTCGCATTGTATTTGTTAGATTTTGGTTGTGTTTTGGAAATTTCAGAACAAATCAAATGACTTAATGATTACGTGACAGCACATTTGCACCCACGCACATTAGCATCCGTAAACAGCACCCAGGACATTTGCACCTGCATAGTTTTTCACCCATGGACATTTGCACTCGCTTGTAGATTTTACCACCCGCATATAGATTGCACCTGCAGACATTAGCACCCATGTATAGTTGCGCCCACAAACATTTGCCCCCAGTACATTTGCACCCGCGGAAATTTGTATTCATGAACATTTGCACCCATGTACATTTGCACCCACAAACATTTGCACCCACGAACATTTGCACCCACGGACATTTGCCGCCTTGTACATTTGCAACCTGGACATTTGCACCCACAGAAATTTGCACCCGCACCTATATACCTGACATTTCCACGCATATGAATTCGCCTCATGAACGAATAATCGTGTTTCAGACAAACTTTAAAAACCAAGTATAAATATATATATGCGAAATGAGACGGATTACAAATTTTAAGTAGCAAATTTTAAGTTTGTGTTGGGAGTCGCTACGTTTTTACTGTCAATACGAGTTATAATCCTATCCCACTTTTATCGATCTTTTTCTTTTCGACGAAAAACGGCAAATGTATGTCGAATTGTACGGTGGTTAGAAGACGATGGCGAAGAAAAACTGGTCGTACATAAATTAATCAAGTCAGTGTTATACCAATTGTACAAGACAAGAGAGAGGAGCCTCGAGGAAGAAGAATAGATAAGAGAAAAACAGAGAGCGAGAAACGACTTCGAGTTGTCCAAGAAAGCAGGATTTATATGGAACAAGTGGTTTACAGCACTTTCCCTCTCTTTTGTGTTATTGCGCCATAATGGTGTCTATACCGATGCGCGTTGTTTTCCTCGATCAGAGTTAATAATGGGTAAAAATCCAAATTAATCGCGTTCGGGTTTGCAGTGGGTTCGTCTTCATTACAAAATATAACATTAGGATTTCCCTATCTCGGCACAAATGTCAATAGAACCTCTTTTACTTCATAAACTAGTATCATTGAGTGTAAATGTTTACGGGTGCAAAATTCCAAATGTCCATAGATGCGAATATCCATGGCTGTATATGTCCATGGTTTCAAACAGTGGTGGGATTCAGCCGGTCCGCACCGGTTCTATAAAACCGTCTCACGGAAATTTATTAGATCAGCGAACCGGTCAGCATTACTGGTTACTGTCAATGTTCTGTTTGTGAAAAAACCGGCTGAAAAATATGACTTTTATGAAGAAACCGGCTGACAAAAAATTTGAAATCCACCACTGGGTGCAAAGGTACGTGGGTGCAAATGTACGTGGGTGCAAATGACCGCGGGTGCAAATGTACGCGGGTGCAAATGACCGTGGGTGCAAATGTCTGTGGGCTGAACTGTCTGTGAATGCAAATGTACGTGGGTGCAAATATCCATGGGTACAAATGTTCATGGGTGCATCGGCCGGTGCAATTGTTCATAGGTGCAAATGTCCGTTGGTGCAAAAGTATGCATGTGCAATTGTCCTGAGTGCAAATGTACGTGTGTACAAAGATAATGGAACTCAATGATTATACTGTCTGCTCATATAGTTAATGACAGTAATCAAAAATTAGTCCAAAAATAGCTGTGATAGACAAGGCTTGATATTTCTACCGGTACTTTTGGGTAACAGTGTAAAATATTTTGAATTAGTGATTGTTTGAAACATATAAACCAGTTTAAGGCGTCAACTCGCGAAACCACCCTTAAAATGAGCAATAAAAATGTTGCAATTGTAAAATAGGATATAACGAATTTTTCATCCATAGTCACCATGCGGAAGTCAATTTGGGACGAATCGTGTTTGTTGTTCAATTTTGAATTTGCCCAAATGCTTTAGATGTTGTAGAATCACTAACCTGCTCGTATCAGTGACCTGTACATGTGAAATATGCATATATCATATATGTACTTCTCTCACATAGAAAGCATAGAAATACTAATATTGCTATTTGTTTAAGATATCCCGACTATAAGTTCCTCGTCAGCAATCACGTTGCGGAAAAAATAACAAAGCATATTCGTTATGGTGAAGGTGGACTGGAAGGAATAATATTTGACATATTATTTCTGTCAAGATGTGATTATATTGTTTGCACCTTATCTTCAAATGTAAGTAAGACAGAATATATATCTATCTCGACCACTATCACAATTAACGAATTAGTTAAAATGCTTGATGTTGAATATTTGAAATATATATAACAGAAAATTCCATAGAGATACTTCCACCAACATTATTTTGTGAATATTTCTAGGTGTGTCGCGCTGCATATGAAGTAATGTCAGCAAATCGTGTTGATGCAGCGACTCAAATTCAGTCATTAGATACCGGCCATCGACTGAAGAACATTCTTTTCGCTCCATGGAGAGCCACAGCTGACCATCACCCTATTAAATCCGAGGAACTTGAGTTGCAAAAAGGTGACACGGTGAAAGTGTCGATGTTTTATCGTGATTCGGTAAACGATGGATATGTATTGGCACGTAATCAGGCTACGGGAAAAGGGAAAATCCCAGCCTATAAGGCTCGGGAAGAACTAACTCTTTTAGATTTCCCTATATTTGAGCAGTAAACGTTATTAATGCAACCAGCTCTCTGTTCTATTGCTAATTAGCAGCTTCTGTCTGAACTGGATAAAATTTTAAGGGTCCTTTTCCATGAAATCACCGAAACCTTTTCACCTAATTTTACAAAAATGTTCACTTTCAATAGACAATATTATCAGAGTATTGATAGTATCAATTTTTCCACAAAGCATAGTAGACGTCTCAAATGAGTACAATAAAACTTTGAGATATATTATCTCATTGTGCGAAAATTTAAAGCTGACAGCAAATATAGACAAGCTCTAGTCTAGAAGAAAGATATCTGCGAGTGATTCAGTATCTAAACTGAAATTGAAAATTTAAGGACTTTGCATGTCGGGTATAGTTACATATTTCTGGAACTCTGGTGTTCAAGGTGAATATATATGGCAACAATTTTGCACTATTTCGGCATATTTTAATGATGGAAAATTGTAGATCTAATCCACATAAAGCACCTGACATATACGCTACAGGGCATAGTAAAAGATGTATGTGGATGATAAATGCAAGAATGATTCAACCGTTAAAACAGCTTACATGACCTAGAATACATCACGCGAAAACAAAGGTATTGTCGCAACAAGAAAACAAAGAATTTCATGATTGTACAAGGACGAGTGCAACATATTAGTTGCAATGTTGGGAATTGTTCAGAAATATTGTAATAGCGCAGCGATAAGAAAAGTGAGGTTGCATTTACACCGAGATAACTATAGTTTCAGTTTTGCTTTGTTTCGAGTAGTAATAGTAAGCGGCCATCAACTCGACATGAGGAATAGATAAGTTTCTAAAAACGTAGTCCACTTTCCTAAACATTGACAAATAATTAGGAATTTCCCATTTATATATGTGGGGGTTAATACTACAACCAAATAGAGTTGCAAATGAAACTTGGCGAGGGGTAATATTGCGACTTTGTGATCTGAAAGGATATCCTGATAAGTAGCCGCAACTTTTTTGTTCAAAGAATAATATAAGATATGAAACTATTGAGTCTAAAATTCTATTTGAGAGGGTGATACATAAGCAATATTTGCATATTTGCAAATGGTATCCACAGTACCCAAATGTATCACACACTGTTACAGTAATTATAAATTATATTGGAAGAATAAAACACATCGAAAATATATTTAAAAAACAATTGGTTTTATCTGCAGATGCCAGATTTATTGTGAGGTTGACCATTTCAATGCTTTGTGATTTGGACATCCTTATTCAACAGGCACACTTGATTCGCAGTTTTGTAAATGAGCACAGTACACCAATTTGTCTAATGTTTTGATTCCATAGGCAGGAGGTCGTGGATCGGTACTGCTTAGGATGGGAAATTTTTTGCTAATAAATGCATATTACGCGTTCAACATAAATATTTTGTGCTTAGATTATAGGACTGTTTTTAAGGTCTAAATCAGGGATCGGCAAACTTTTGTCGTTCGCGGGCCAAAATTAAAGTTTGCAAGACATTGGCGGGCCGCACATATTTTTAGAAAGTTGAAAACCGAGGAAATGGCCAATGAATCACATTTTTTCACACAGATTTCAGGTAAATTTCAAGCAGCGCGCGAAGACTGATCATTTGAATAGTTTCTGCGTCATTAAACCATTTGCACTCAGCATCAACTTTTTTACGTTCTGTTGCCAATTGTCTAATTATAATCAATTTATAGGCTCATAAACGAGTGATTGTGAATTATATACTTGTGTGGGTATAATATAACTTAGTGTCTCAAAACAAATTCTGTTACGTAAAGAATATAATCGTCAACACAGTTGTTTTGTTAATATAATTCAGTGAAGCGTAGCGGGCCTGATTATATTGTTTTGCGGGTCGTAGTTTGCCGACCTCTGGTCTAAAGGCTCCACCTCCTTTTTTCCTCCGGTATAAGTGGGAATTTTCAGTGTGGCATGCATGTGTCAATGGAGTCACTAACATCAAAATCTCTTTCAGCAAGGACAAGATCACCTGGAAGTAACATTCCATAATTTAGGGTCAAAAATGTGTAATACCCCCACAGCCCATGAAATTTTGATGCCTTATATATTTCAAATCAAATATTTTACAGTGTTATGGTGCTTCTAGCGAAAATGTGTTTGGGCGGCTGCTTTTAAAGAGGTATTTCTAGTCGGAAGACACATTAAATATTTATGCTAACAACTGTAAAGTGATATTGCAACGCATACAAGTTAACAGAATTTGATGGAATTGTGATAGCGATGTAAGTTCTTTAATAAATGGTTTCAAAATATCGATGGCAGGTCGATGGCAAATTACAAAAATTTTCAGTTTTCCATTCAGCTGTTCAAATTTCCAACTCCACTCATATCATTTTCACTGATTTTCTGTTGCACAAATTCCTGTTCCTCCTATTTTTCATTTATTTCGGTACAATTAGCTCGGTACACTGCTCAATTTTCCAACACCTCAACCCTGCCTTTTGCCTTCCCTCAAAATCTAACTTTTTTCTAACTATTCTTTTCCTCTCTGGGAATGACGAAAATTCAAATATTGAAGGAAGATAATAAGCTGATAATGGGCTATCATTCTTTTTTCCTGAAAAGAAGTTACACACTAATCATCATTTGTACAGTGTCAAGTTTGTGTATCGATGAATTGATGTCGCTGAGAGCTTCTGATTATGTTCTGCATGAACACTGGTGTTAAACTTGATCTCTTCAGCTTTTCACGTTCATTACTCATCTATCTTGATCGGTAAGTATGTTGATGGGTATTTGTCTGATTGTCTGTCTGTTAGACACTATCTCGTTTATAGAGTAACAGATTGCATGCTAACTAACGAAATATTACCTTCTGATCATTGCTTGAAATTTATTTCTTGCCAATTTGCCTACCAATAACGGCAGTTTGTCATATGTATTCTATTAAAATGACGGACCTTCTGAATACTTAAAGAAATAAATAACGGCACATCATCACCCACCACCAACGAAGTGCTGTCCCCAAACACCAGCGAGATGGCTGGGACACCAACCAGTACTCCTAATAGATGATATCCACCTTGCGCGACGTTCCGGATCTTTTGAAAACAATGGAATATAACTGAAGATCCATTTCGTTGTTTATACGTACAACACAATACTACATAACCATATTTAACAGCCCAGCAAAACGGAAACGAACAACGCGACAGGAGCGAGCTCTGGCTAGACGTTTTTTTGCCGTCCAAAATGGCGGCATGAACAAAGTCACGTGATCCGTGCAAGTTCTCTATTTGTCAGATTCCAGTTGTGTTTCCAAAAATTAGTTGTTAATGAAGTAATTTAATTGTCATTATGTATTCCGATGAGTTTTAGTTTAGTTGCAGTAATCAAAATTTAGTCCTGGAAAAGCTGCGATAGACTATGCTAAAATTATTTATTTTGCAATAGTAAAGTATAGAGAGAATTGTTTTGGGTTCAAGGGTCGGGAAACATCTATTGTAAGACTTGTATTGTAGACTCACCTCCAAAAACGTTAATGCCGTTTTCAAGTTTCTGCTTACAAATGTTATATAAAAAAAACTTCAGGATTTACACATTTATCCCAAGGGAGAGAGAAGCCGATTAGACATTCCAATCATATATACGACATACCACGAACTCTCGTACGGTTACCTGTTTATTTCGGGTATGGTATATATATAGCGTTTTTGATTTAATCAACACCCGCGATCAGACAACAGGTCCTCATTGTTGTAATTAAATCTGTCAAACGATTGCAATTTATTTTTCGGGTTGTGGTATAGCCTCAATAGCCTACTACGAATGCGAAGACCAAACCACAAAGTTTCTTTTTGGCACTCAACCAATCTACTTTCATTTGGATATGAACTCCCACATTTCAAAGAATTTTCGTTGTCTCTACTTCTTCTGTCAACAAGTTCCTATATTGCAACAATTCATATCAAGGAATGGTATGGAATAATTATATATATACATATATACGCTGGTCTGCTGTGCTCTCAAAGGCATTTTAGATATTAGACAGGAGAAGCAATGTACGAATATGTCTACTTTTAATAAGCACTAGACCAGTGGTTCCCGGAGTTTTTTTGAAAAATTCCATGACGGACGCCTCGCAATTTTTTTAATGATCCTCGGCCTTGTGCACTAAAATCAAATGATAAAAGATCACAACAACAAAAATAAATGCGCCCTACGTATTTCCACTCTGAACGAGGCTTTACGGAAAATGTAACTCTTACGTAGAAACCTTGAACTTGCGGCTTTGGTAGGAATATACTGCTAGACCAAGCAGATTTCAAACCTAAAATACTTAACCCACAACGGCCGTGTATAGAGGCAGGATTTGTGGTAACTACATATGCGTGTTATTTGGGTTTTTAAAAAAACTTCGAAGTCTTCTTAAGATCCACTGCACATTTTAATCTGTCTTCTGTTCATTTTAATCGGTTCATATATATATCACTCGATTCCTCACTTTTACGCTTTAAATTGAGCAAATTGGCATTCGAGATGTCTATCTTTATTATCTTCACGTTTTAGCAACGAATGAAATTATCTATCTAGAATTGAAAAAAAGTCGGTGATTGGACGACCATTTTGATTTATAAGTTTACCGCAGACAATATTTTCCACTAAAGTTACACTTTTATTACTTATTGTAATTGCAGATTCCGTCGAAGGTTTTAGGCTAGAGTGAAATGTTAACAGGAAAGCATGTTTCTGCCTGGGCCCGAACCACTTTGGGGGGATCGTTTGCAAACGCGTTGATCACTTCAATACGGAAAGACACCAGGGTCGGTTTCAAGCCGATTGACGAACCACGGGTGTATGCGTTTCCCCATGTAGAAGTCATCACGTTTGCCTATCACGCGAAAGATTATTGTTAGGTCTCCCAAGAGTATTGTTCAATCTAATATGACCCAAGCTTCCTTTTTAATTTTGAGCGGTAGCGAGGGTGTTTATTTTTTGCCTGGCTTTAGGAAAGATCCGAAATTTTGAAACGAACGATTTCAGGGCATTTTAAGTGAGACGCAAAGTGGTAAGGGCGTCTTTTTTAACCCTATTTTGCTCTATTCAAGAGCTATTCACTGATAATTGGCCGTTTTGGGGCTCACTATCAATTAATCCTCCAAATTAATCATGCGATTTGGCAAAAATGCGCGATTGTATAGCCTGGAGAACTCGGCGGTGAAGTCTATAAAAGGGATTTTAACGTAACGTTAGATATCAGTGGCCTCTTATATCTTACTTTGTTCGTAGCGAAATCAGGCGAATAAGCATCCGTAATAAGTCATATCAAAAAACAAAAAAAATTGGGTTGCCAAATTTTGGGCTGGCTACGCTCTTAGCGATGTAAATAAGGAAGTCGATTATTACGGAAACATCAATCTTCATCGATACTTGGAAGTATAAGAATGGGATTTCAAATTTGGGGATGAAAAATGGGAAAAGTTCACACGCTATTTCTTGTAAAAACTAAGCATGAACAACAGACAGGCTATAAAAGGAATGTTTTGTATAAAGCTTCCACCAACGCTTAAAATGAGAAAATTAGTAATTGTCCGTTTAGAAATGCATATTGCGCCGAACATTACAATTTTTATTCATTCCGAACCAACTGGATAATTATAAATTTTTGATTCAAAACATGACAGGATTGTTTCTATCAAATCTTACATTTTGTGTATTAGTGGCGGAGGCTTTGTACAAAAGATTCAATGGGAGTTTCCATAAGATTTAAAATCATGATCATGAATTTTTTGCTAGCTTCGTAAAGTGAGATCTTTTGAACCACGTGAGAAGTGAAACGAAAAAATAGCTTACCTACGTTGGTAGAGAAAAATATCTGTCTTCGACATATAAATGCGAAATGTATATTGTATTCCAGTCAGAGAAATTGTTTGCAATCGGTGCCTTTTATTAATAAAATTGCATTCTTACTAATCCTGAGGATCGGTGAAGAATTATTAATCTGACGGGCACAGCCACAGAGAAAACGGCCTACCCTGACTGACTACAATTTAAGTTGACATGTCCTGACTTCTTTTTATTAAAAAAATTGCATTCTTACTAATTCTGGGGATCGGTGAAGATAATTAATCTGACGGGCACAGCCACAAGGCAAACAAACCAGCCTACCCTAACTAAAATTTAAGTTTTGACTTCTTCATTTCACTTATTTTTATACCCCGGTGACTCTCTTCTGTGTGCTTTCTGTCACTAACCCCGACTGGATGCCGTCCTTGCAGGTTATAATTAATTACCTGCTATCCGACTTCCTTCTTGTGTGTTGCCGGCGGACCCCGTCTTAGCAACCTCAGTTTAGGGATAAATTCGTTATTTCAGGTAAAATTCATAAAAAAAACTAGAAATTGTTTATTGCGACATTCTCCAAATTCATAAATTGGATCTAGGCAACATATCGCAACTGAAAAATAATTTTATATCAAACCCGAATTTGTATTTCAAACCCGAATCAATAACACTAATGGAATCGATATCACCATACACGTATATATAGGGTTTCAATCGAATATTTGGGTGGTCTTGTATTTGGGAGTCGAATCGTGTGTTCGATGTGTGTCTGGATCAGTGTCGCTTCGTCATGTCTTCATCGTAGGGATGGGCCGGGATTCGGATCCTGGCAACGTTCAGCACTTCGCCTGCGTGTGGACTCGAACGGATATTCAATATTGACACCGCGGAAGTTTTCTTCGTCACAACTTAAAATAAAACTTATTGTAAAAGAGGTCTTTTATTGAAAGATATCAAGACGTTTTTCACGAGGAGTGGCAACTTGAACATATTTTTTAAAAGCCATCGCAATACCGAGAAGTTTGAGAACCACTGCCTTAACTAGTTAAAAGTCAAAGTTGGATCTGTAACAAAATCCCTCGTGTGTATTATAAACACTTTTAATAAAAACGACGACAGATATGCAGATAATATAACGCAAGTTAAAAGCTATTGATCGCTTATAACAATGATGTTGCGCCAGTCGCCTTAAAACTATCTATCCTTTTTGATATACATGTGGTACACAATGACATATGTGTTAGCGTATAGCGTTAAGTTTTTGATTCGCGTAAAAATGAAACATGCTCTGAATCGAGCCAATGGGGAATCTCATCAATACCTGTTTATCAGGCAGCAAAGTGCAAGAAAACAGAGTATACACAATAAAAACACTTTGAACAGTTCTGATGATAGCTAATTCCCTGACAACAACCAAAAATACAACGCCAAAATAACTGCAATGGCACTGTACTTAAACAATAACATCAGCCTACTGTCCAGCATAAAAACATCCAACAAATCCCCATCCCGCAGTCACAAAACCACAAACAAACATCCCCGATAACCCACCGGAGACCAGAGGCAACCGAAAACCAACCACACTCAGACAACTGCAACCTGCCAACCACAGCACATCCAGAAGAACAGATCGACCGTGTCACAACGCCCCCCAGTGTCTTCAATGCCAAAATACCAATACAATATCACTTGTCATCATTTAACAGATAAAACAAGGGTCGTCACAATATAAAGCAGATGAATAAAGTACCTCATTGTTACGTAACATTAAAGGCAAACCCTACGTAATGAAAAGTATTCGATATAGAAAGATAAAATGAATTTATTGATTCATATACCCAGCATTTAAATTTAAAAAACAAAAAATGTCGAATCATCTTTCGGGTGTGTTTAACCGTAGTAGTATATATTTACGGTTTAACACAATTCTGTTTTCACGGCGCCTTTGACAACTCGACACGGCGCACACTTTGGGAATCGATGCATTACATAATTTTTCTTCAACAATTTCATTTTGGTGTTGCGTGACGCGACATAAAAAGTAATAATATTTCGTGGCGAAAAAAGTTTGGGGAACGCTGGCTTAGGGTAGGGGTGGCGGGAGGAAGCCGCCAGCAATCCTCTGGTACTAAATTATCCCCTACTGGATTTGAACCTGCGAATCCAAGCGGGGTTAGAATCTTAGGTTAGAAATCAAGCGTATTTCTAAGGCTTAGCACGATGCGCCACTCAACGCGAACGTAGTCAGCTGCAGTGCACTGTCTGACATAGATACCAAATATATTAAAATACGTTTATACCCTTACGTTTTTACCCTTATGTCAAAAGATTTTTCTGTTTATTTTTATGACGAAACAACACCAAATGCAATTTTTGTTTATCCTCGCGCAAATGCGACGCGGGCCACAGATAATGAAGCGGCGGGCCAAATGTGGCCTGGCTTTGGACCACCCTGGTCTATCTCTCCACCAGCTCCATGACACCAAATATTTGAATGGTCTCGAATAGTTGATCTATATATTATCAGTTGTTGTCGTCGGTATGCTCTTGTCTTGAGCGGTCAATTATCGTATTTACTTCACATAGAACCGTGAATTAATGCTGTTGGCGATGTTATGTCTCTGCCGGTTGGTTTGAGTGGAGAAATTACTTTACAGCAGGCATCGAAACAACGTCACATTGCGACTCCCCTCTTAAGGACATCGCCGGCACGTTATTGTATGGAAACTTAAAATTATTCTTGTCTGCGTAAGTCAATGAGCTAAGATCGGTACATCAATGTAGAGAATGCATTAAATATAATGCTAGACTTGTATACGCCGTTATTCTTTCATTGAATGGTAGGAAGGTTACATTTTTGATGATATTCACGTGCGCGCGTTTACTCGACATATATATATAAACAGACAAATATAATCGAATTGCTAGATTCATTGTACTAAGCTCCCGTCACTGATGCAAAAATGTGAGATCTGCGGTAAACACCCCCGAGAATATTAATGTGAACTAGGTAGGTATTATACGATCAGAAAATGTATGAAGCAAATCCCAACCGTCATCTGCATTCTGCAACTTTGAGATCACGCGTTAGAAGCGTGTTTGTAATATTTAATTACAAATAATCAGATAGCCTTTTTCGTCAAATATTTGTGCGCGGGAAGCCACAAGCGACATCGCAGTCACAAATGTTCGTGGTAGGATGAAGTTTGATTTTGTGTAGGATGTATGGATAGGCTGACTGTTGGGTTATGACAGCGAGTTCGAAACAATATTCAGGTGAGCTAAATGTTCTTTATACCTATTGTTTTCATTGCTATTATAATGCTTTCATTTTTCTATTGTTTAAGTGGTAAATTAGAGGTTTTCGGGCCTATACGAATTGGATTATTATGCTAATACAGAAGTCTAGAATAATGAATGATTCTCTTTTGCATCGAACTCACTAACATCAGATTCCATCGTTTCCTCACAACTGGTCGAACTCAAAAGCTATATGGCAATACATGAACTTATCATATTAAGAAACTTAAACGTAATATGCTGATCTACGTCACTACGTAAGCTGCATTCCACATGGTACGCTTTACAATGCATAACTTTCAAAACTTTCGCAAATGTAGCGCAAAATCAATAGTTTTAATAGAGATTCGCCGTAGCCTTTTTACTTTGATATATTATTGTGTATTGAGTGCTCCCATAGTATTCGTACTATAATGGCGCACAACCTGAACATAATATGTGTACCAGGTTAGGGTTCAGGTTAGGCGTCATCTTGGTACGAATACTACCGGAGCGCCGTGTATAGATTGGAACTTTGTACAAAGACCCTACCAACGTTCAACATGAGATTATTAGTAATTATCCAGTTTAAGATAGGAATGCAAATTGCGCTGGAAATTTTTAATTCATTCCCAACCCCAAATGGGTAATTACTAATATGTCATTTTAAAACGTGGCGGGATCTTTGTGCAAAAGATCCGATAGATTCAGCCCCACTCTCCATTTATTATTCAAGAGATTTCTGCGACGGTTTATTTATCAATATATTGAATTCTTTTCAGTTGCAGACAAAGTAACGAACAAGGAATAATACAAGTAAATATCATTTAAACATTTTATTTGAATTTCGACGCCTATTGATTCCTGTATACCATTGTTTTCGTTTAAATGCTTAAACAATTCAATGCGAGCGCACGCGTCTCGAATCTTGCGATCAAAGTCGGCATTGTTATGCCACTTATTTGATCGTGTGTTTTCCCTCGAAATTGTTAGATTTATATTTTCACAAGTTTTAATAATTGCCTTTCAAATCAAAAGTCCAAAAAAGTAAGACCCACGTTCACGTTTAAAATGCTAAATAGTTCGATGCTAGCCAACATTGTTATTCCCATTCTATCGAAATTTAAGATTTAGATTTTGCACAAATTTCAATAATTGTGTTTTAAAGCAGGAGTCCAAAAAAGTACTACAAATATAGTACCTTGTATCAAATTGGTGTACTCTTTGCGACCCCTAAATTTCGTTGCTCGCCTCTCTGCTAAATTGCGATCCCCAGCGTGAACAATGTGATAATTCTACAAGTTACTGATCAGAGGTAATTAGTCATATACTCCATGAAACAGTTATATAATTTCATTGGGTATTTTATTGTTATTGTAATATTTGCAATTTGTGCAGTTTGAAAACTACACTTGATATGTTATAAAGTATTAAGCTGAATTTAAGAAATTAAATGATTACATATACCTGTAATTGTAGAGTCGATGAAAAACAATTTCTATAGTATTAAATTGGTATAAGTTTTGTGTATTTGAGAAAAAAAAATCGGAGAAAAGTCTAGATTTTATGAAATTAAATATCAAAATTTACCCGCTACGTATTTTATTAAAACTGACGTATATTTGTTGCTTTGCAGTGTCTCTGTCAAATAGCATTTGTGTGAATTAACTACCGGAAAATGACATAGTTGGCGCAACGAAACTTAGTTTAATTCAAATTTAGAATTGGCTTACACAAAATCATGACATATATATTGATTTTCAGCTTTTTAAAACACTGCTTGAACGTCGACAGAACAATTTATCATTGTACCAAAAGAAATTCGTCAAGTGCCAGCTTTTCATCACAGAGTGAGATGGAAGCCTATCAAGTCTGAAGAGCAAGTATGTAATCAAATCATTTGAAATCTTTCAATTTAGATGTCTATAAATAAATGATATATTGTATTTATTCGGGAAATCTACAGACAAATTATTACTTTCAATATATTGAATAGAAGCTCAGTTTTGTTTTGTCTGTCGAATGGAATTTTCTAAAAACTACAATCTCAAAATTTCATAATAACATGATTCTCATAACTGCCGTTTTATTCGGGCTATTGAGTCGGCCCAATGAATAAGGCTAGAGCCTTGTTTAAGAAATAAAAAATAGGCCTTTTTCCGTTCCCGCTCAATAGTCGAGATACAAGGATGCATTACATTGATCTTCTTTTTTGTCAGTTTGGGCACCAATGCGCGCTCATAATTGTATATGGCAAAATCTGTTAAAACCAAACCATGCTCATTTCGTAGAATCGCGGAAATAAATATTCTGCCCCACGAATTAACTGTGCAATGGCATAGTCATTACAGCGCAGGGGCTAACTGCTGTGCTGTCCCATCTGCTGTCATTTCGTTTAATCTTCCAAACCGAAAGGCCAATTATACAATCTTGTAATGTCAGTTTATTTGAAGGTCATTAGGCCAACATAAAAAAAAGAAAATGAAAATAAATTTCATAGTAATACTTTTAGTTCAGTAGTGTATATCTGCAGAGATACTGAAAGGATTTGAACTATGCCTCGTTAAATGCCTCGGTTAAAACTCAGCCCTAACTTAATAACCATGCGAATATTAAAACCTATTGTTCAACTTGTTTATCATAGGTTGCCTATATATACTAATATGTCTAACTTTGTTGAAATCGTAGTCCTGGCCTATATAAAGAACGAACGTAAATGAAAATCAGAACGAACGTAAATGAAAATCAGTACAAGTTGTCGTCTTTGTATCTTTAGAATAAGCATAGCTTATCACAAAGACGTTGACATTTTTTGAGGGGCGTAAAGGTAATTAGTGGGTGGAAATATTTGTTAGATTTTATCTTTCCCGCCTTATTTTTGATTTTTACATTTCCCAAATATGTAGCTGTATTTTCAACTTGCTTTTCAGTGAGTATAAATATAATTTATATTATGTTCTGCAATATTATACACTGACAGATCATTCCAAAGTAATGTTTGTAATTTAGGGGGAAATCTGTGAATAATTTGTGAATGAACTGAAAATTAATATTTTTATTCGATGTATCCAAAGTATAAGCATAGCTTCTATTCATCATTGCGAGATATTAGGCAGAATTGTTGGCCATGTGATTCGTGACTCTATTTTCAACATTGAGAATGCCAGATCGAATTTGATAAATAGTGAACTTTAAATGACCTATTCGAAGCATTTCAATTTCAAAACCAAACTTTTAGGAAAATGCAACATTTGCAGATCTTTTTTGACATGTTCTCGAACAGGGGTCAATATAATGAAGCATGAAATATATTTGTTCAGTCGTAATTTGAGATAAAAAAAAGAATTATGTTGGCATGACTGTTTTTTGGATAATACGAATATATTACAATATTTATAAAAACCAATGGTCCATGTAATTCAGGTATTAATAAATGAATTTGTAGGAAACTAAATTCTCACAAAAGTATAGGTTGGAATTCAGTCGTTTATCCCCCAAAATCAATAAAGTAAGAGAACATTACCTTACATGAAATGGACTAATATCGAATCTTACTTGTTTCTACTTTTAAACAATTATGTATGTCAGTCTTCCTAATCAAGATAATAGATTCCGCACCGGGGTTTGTCGCTTCCTACTTCCTAATACATTCCTATTTTAAGGTTGTTTGAATATTAATCCGGATTGAAGATTGAAGATGGCAAAAACTAGCTACGCTAAAAGGTTATTTGGTATGCTTTTTCCGTGACATGCTGACATGTGTGATTATTCAAATTCAAATATTCAAAGTGAATGCATTTCCTGGTGGTGTAATATATATAGTCAAAGTCTAAAATATTTCAATCGAAATATTCATATATATATATATATATATATATATATGTATATATATATATATATATATATATACATTGAACAAACATGACAGGTACTGACAGCGCCGGATTAGCCATTAAACAATATAAGCACGTGCTTAGGGCAGGGTCACCAAACTTTTTTGACCGCGGGCCGGGTATGACTCAAACTGGGTTGAAACGGGCCCGGATGAATATTTTTGTCAATGCAATAAAATAAATTCACAAAAGTTGGGAAATTCATCCAATTTATTTAACAATATATATTCTACATTTCTGAAGACTTGAATATTTAATTCTATCTATATCGCAGAATATAGATCAAAAACATCCTAGGAAAACAAATATACAAGATTTCTATATCTAGACAACTATCCTGAGTTTAGCTGTTATCAAAACGTTGCTGTCATGAATTAGGAATGTTACAAAATCGGCTATTTCGCGCCAAAATAATGTACGCTTCACGTCTGCTAAGTACTGTTACGCCGTGTTGGAATACTGCTACTGCTAAAAACGACTACGGACTGCCTGCTGTAGCTTGGAATTCCATGAAATTTTGACATAATTTAGATAAAATAAACAACATACCTGGTATTTGATTTTTTTCATTAGCGCATACTTTTCTCAGCTTTCGACGCTTTTAAAAATTCCGCCTCCCCCCTTTTATACGTAGTGCAAATTAAACTATCATGCACAACTCCAGCGTTTATTTGCGACGATCTTTCGGCGGTTTCAATGACCGTTGCCAGAAAAAAATCCCGAAATAGTCTCAATATTAGTGATTGACATGTGTTATTTTTTCATATTTATTACAGTTCTCAAAAAAGTAATACAATCCTTATGAAAATAATTGCCCTGTCGGGCGGTACTAAAATTCCGATATCTCGGTTCTTTCTTGACCGTTTTTTATAAACTTGGTACTGTTTTCTATTTTCACTCAGATCTATCCACTGGCGCAGTTTTTATTTAAATCGGATTTTTTTTTGTAACATACTACATGAATATCCGCATTTGAGCAGTACAAAAGTTAGTGTGACTTATGAAATTGGAGCAGTACGCGAGGGATTATAGTACTGTTAGCGCAAAATGCACATTCAACATTTATTTTAGCACAAGAAACGTAAACAGTTTCGTCGAAAGCACGCGCAACGAGTGTACAAGTGCATCTTTCGCAGAAAACGTTGCGTACCGGTAGAGAATTTTAGCCTATTTTTTCACAGCTATTTCTAGACTAATTTTTTATTACTACTATTAAAAGTTTAAAACTACAACTCCTAAGAATGCAAATGATAGTTGACTTAATTGATTCATACTTAAATTTCCGAAACACAATCAAAAACTAACGAATAGCATTCAAAGTCGCAAAAACGAAGTATTGTTTACAACCACGACTGGAAATCTGTCAGGATGACAAAAGTTATCTGTGCTGAGATGCGAAGAGGCTTTTTATTACGTCACGTTTTTTTGCATCTATCTGATTGGTCAATGTTACGAAATAAACAAGGAAGACGATGCTCGGGGGAAATCTTCCTTGGAAAAAATTTAGCCATTTTTGCGTGTTATTGCGGGCCGGATAAAATGACGCCGCGGGCCGGATCCGGCCCGCGGGCCGTAGTTTGGTGACCCCTGGCTTAGGGCATCAAGCAAGGAGGGGCATCACAGAAATTTTAGAGCAGAATTTTATATAGTTTATCGGTATTTATTAAAATATTACGAGTTCAACAGACGACT